TCGGAGGCTACTAGCTACCTTTCTCACCCCCCCCCAGACCCATCAACAAGCTGTCCCTGTCGGAGCCCCAGACGATGACCTCCAGTCCGGCCATGGATGACCTGGACTCAGCCCTACAGTGTCTTGAGGTCAAGCTGGATGGGGCAGACAGCAGCCCCCAAGACATGCTGGTCAGAATATTATGACTCTTTATTTCACCTCTACAGAAACATTTCCCACAATATATTTTATTGTGAAGTCAAAATATGATATGTATTTGTGAATATGTATTTCAGTTATGTATTTTGATTATAAATAAAGTAGCGTAGCTCTTTCCTGCAGTCAAATGACCAAATCGCCGTCTGGTGTTTCTATGTCAAACGGTTTTGTTATATTTCAATCTTCTGTGATGTATATAAAGTGTAATATTGGGATGCAAACTCAAAATTGAATACATTTCAACTCTATATCTGACATGGTACAGTTGTCTTCTTTTTTTGAAGACCATAACCTTGTGTTTGAGGTGTATACCTTTGTTTCAAAGTAGATTTGTTTAAGACTACCAAGAAACAGTCTGCGTGACCCTGATTTAGCCCACTGCAGTAAAAGGTTAAATTAAGTAGAATTCAATTATAATATGTTTTTTATCGACACAGAGTAACAGGATGCCAGAATTATTTCCCATGCCTATTTGAAAAGCAGATGTCAGACAAGGAATCATTTGCATGTTGCTTTGTCTTACACACAGGAGAACCTGACTGCCCCAGAGCTGAATGATTATTTGAAGATATTCCGGTAAGATCCGGCATTTGTGTGAAAAAATGTCTGATTCCTCATTTCCCGCACTATTTTTAGAATGGAACACACCAAATCATACACACACAAACATGCACAATCAGCACACACACACACACACACACACACACACACACACACCCACACCATGTGAAGCATAATAACAGTAATAACAGTGTACTTCTGTTTCAGGCCCAAGAGGTTGACTCTGAAGGGATACAAGCAGTACTGGTTCAAGTTTAAGGATGCCTCCATCTCCTACTATAAGAGCAAAGAGGAGAGCCTGGGAGAACCCATTCAACAGATCAACCTCAAAGGTATGAAGCAGACACTTAGGGAGAATCTCAATTGCATTTCCTTGATTTCTTGCATCCTCTCTCCTGGCCTCTTCTTAAAACCCATTGGATGAGAAGGTCAGAGGAGAAGGAATCAAGGAAATGCAATTGAGATTCTCCCTTAGATCAATTGTCTTTTGTCTCTTTCACCTGCTTATACACACAGTACAATAACCTTTCACCTTTTCAGGTTGTGAGGCCGCTCCAGATGTGAACGTTGCTGGACAGAAATTCTGCATCAAACTTCTGATCCCAGCTCCAGAGGGCATGAACGAGGTCTACCTGCGCTGTGAAAATGTGGGTTACACACACACTGCCAGATACATGAGTAGTACATTTCTTACAATTTTTATTGAAAGTGTAGATAAGATCCACGATAAGGTCCAAGATATTGTCCAAACTGAAATTATCTCCCTCCCTCTCCTCACCCTCCATCACTCCCCTCCCTCCCACCTACCACAACCCTCACCCTCCAATAACCCCCCCCTCACTCACCCTCCCTCCTCTACGCACCCCTCCTCCCTCCCGACCACTCAATCCCAATCTCTACTCTCCACCACCCCTCTCCCTCTTCCCCCCTCTCCCCCTCCCTCCCTACCTCCCCGACCCCCTCCCCCCCTCCCCTCTCCACCCTCCTCCCTATCTCTCCCTTCCTCCCTCCCAATCTCCTCCCTCTCCCTCCCCTCCCTCTCCCTCTCTCCCCTATCTCCTCTCCCTCTCCCTCTCCCTCTCCCTCTCCCTACCCTCCCTCCAGGAGGAGCAGTATTCCAGGTGGATGGCAGCGTGTCGTCTGGCCTCTAAAGGGAAGAGTCTGGCAGACAGCTCATTCCAGAGCGAGGTCCAGAGCATCCGCTCCTTCCTGGCCATGCAGCACACCAACCCCAACACACACACCGACGACAGCATGAGCATCAACACACACAGCCTGGTCTCCCCACGCTACAGCAAGAAGTACAGGGCCAAACAGGTACAGTAGAGATGAACATCCTCATCCTGAAACACACTCTCATGTACTAATGATAAACCCTGATGAACTACATAATGATATACAGGTAACTGCCAAAATAAAGGAAACAGCAACATAAAGTGTCTTAATGGGGCGTTGGGCCACCATGAGCCAGAACAGCTTCAATGCACTGTGGCGTAGATTCTACAATTGTCTGGAACTCTACTGGAGGGATGCGACACCATTCTTCCACCAGAAATGCCATAATTTGGTGTTTTGTTGAAGATGGTGGAAAACGCTGTCTCAGGCGTGGCTCCAGAATCTCCCATAAGTGTTCAATTGGGTTGAAATCTGGTGACTGAGACGGCCATGGCATATGGCTTACATCGTTTTCATACTCATCAAACCATTCTTTGACCACTCGTGCCCTGAGGATGGGGGCATTGTCATCCTGAATATAAATTATTGACCATAAGTTGAAGGTGATCACTCAGAATGGCTGTGTATTTATTGGCATTTCAAATCAAATCAAATCAAATTTTATTGGTCACATGCGCCGAATACAACAGGTGCAGACATTACAGTGAAATGCTTACTTACAGCCCTTAACCAACAGTGCATTTATTTTAAACAAAAAAAGTAAGAATAAAACAACAACAAAAAAGTGTTGAGAAAAAAAAAGAGCAGAAGTAAAAAATAAAGTGACAGTAGGGAGGCTATATATACAATAGAATAAAGTGACAGTAGGGAGGCTATATATACAGGGGGGTACCGTTGCATAGTCAATGTGCGGGGGCACCGGCTAGTTGAGGTAATATGTACATGTGGGTAGAGTTAAAGTGACTATGCATAAATACTTAACAGAGTAGCAGCAGCGTAAAAAGGATGGGGTGGGGGGGCAGTGCAAATAGTCCGGGTAGCCATGATTAGCTGTTCAGGAGTCTTATGGCTTGGGGGTAGAAGCTGTTGAGAAGTCTTTTGGACCTAGACTTGGCACTCCGGTACCGCTTGCCGTGCGGTAGCAGAGAGAACAGTCTATGACTAGGGTGACTGGAGTCTTTGACAATTTTGAGGGCCTTCCTCTGACACCGCCTGGTATAGAGGTCCTGGATGGCAGGGAGCTTTGCCCCAGTGATGTACTGGGCCGTACGCACTACCCTCTGTAGTGCCTTGCGGTCAGAGGCCAAGCAGTTGCCATACCAGGCGGTGATGCAACCAGTCAGGATGCTCTCGATGGTGCAGCTGTAGAATTTTTTGAGGATCTGAGGACCCATGCCAAATCTTTTTAGTCTCCTGAGGGGGAATAGGCTTTGTCGTGCCCTCTTCACGACTGTCTTGGTGTGTTTGGACCATGATAGTTCGTTGGTGATGTGGACACCAAGGAACTTGAAGCTCTCAACCTGTTCCACTACAGCCCCGTCGATGAGAATGGGGGCGTGCTCAGTCCTCTTTTTTTTCCTGTAGTCCACAATCATCTCCTTTGTCTTGGTCACGTTGAGGGAGAGGTTGTTGTCCTGGCACCACACGGCCAGATCTCTGACCTCCTCCCTATAGGCTGTCTCATCGTTGTCGGTGATCAGGCCTACCACTGTTGTGTCGTCGGCAAACTTAATGATGGTGTTGGAGTCGTGCCTGGCCATGCAGTCATGGGTGAACAGAGAGTACAGGAGGGGACTGAGCACGCACCCCTGAGGGGCCCCCGTGTTGAGGATCAGTGTGGCAGATGTGTTGTTACCTACCCTTACCACCTGGGGGCGGCCCGTCAGGAAGTCCAGGATCCAGTTGCAGAGGGAGGTGTTTAGTCCCAGGATCCTTAGCTTAGTGATGAGCTTTGAGGGCACTATGGTGTTGAATGCTGAGCTGTAGTCAATGAATAGCATTCTCACGTAGGTGTTCCTCTTGTCCAGGTGGGAAAGGGCAGTGTGGAGTGCGATAGAGATTGCATCATCTGTGGATCTGTTGGGGCGGTATGCAAATTGGAGTGGGTCTAGGGTTTCTGGGATTATGCTGTTGATGTGAGCCATGACCAGTCTTTCAAAGCACTTCATGGCTACAGACGTCAGTGCCACGGGTCGGTAGTCATTTAGGCAGGTTATCTTAGAGTTCTTGGGCACGGGGACTATGGTGGTCTGCTTGAAACATGTTGGTATTACAGACTCAGTCAGGGACATGTTGAAAATGTCAGTGAAGACACTTGCCAGTTGGTCAGCACATGCTCGGAGTACACGTCCTGGTAATCCGTCTGGCCCTGCGGCCTTGTGAATGTTGACCTGCTTAAAAGTCTTACTCACATCGGCTACGGAGAGCGTGATCACATAGTCGTCCGGAACAGCTGGTGCTCTCATGCATGCTTCAGTGTTGCTTGCCTCGAAGCGAGCATAGAAGTGGTTTAGCTCGTCTGGTAGGCTTGTGTCACTGGGCAGCTCGCGGCTGTGCTTCCCTTTGTAGTCTGTAATAGTTTTCAAGCCCTGCCACATCCGACGAGCGTCAGAGCCAGTGTAGTATGATTCAATCTTAGACCTGTATTGACTCTTTGCCTGTTTGATGGTTCGTCGGAGGTCATAGCGGGATTTCTTATAAGCGTCCGGGTTAGAGTCCCGTTCCTTGAAAGCGGCAGCTCTACCCTTTAGCTCAGTGCGGATGTTTCCTGTAATCCATGGCTTCTGGTTGGGGTATGTACGTACGGTCACTGTGGGGACGACATCATCGATGCACTTATTGATGAAGCCAGTGACTGATGTGGTGTACTCCTCAATGCTGTCTGAAGAATCCCTGAACATGTTCCAGTCTGTGCTAGCAAAACAGTCCTGTAGCTTAGCATCTGCGTCATCTGACCACTTTTTTATTAGCCGAGTCACTGGTGCTTCCTGCTTCAGTTTTTGCTTATAAGCAGGAATCAGGAGGATAGAGTTATGGTCAGATTTGCCAAATGGAGGGCGAGGGAGAGCTTTGTATGCGTCTCTGTGTGTGGAGTAAAGGTGGTCTAGAGTTTTTTCCCCTCTGGTTGCACATTTAACATGCTGGTAGAAATGAGGTAGAACGGATTTAAGTTTCCCTGCATTAAAGTCCCCTGCTACTAGGAGCGCTGCATCTGGATGAGCGTTTTCCTGTTGATTAATGGCCTTGTACAACTCATTCAGTGCAATCTTAATGCCAGCATTGGTTTGTGGTGGTAAATAGACAGCTATGAAAAGTATAGATGAAAACTCTCTTGGTAAATAGTGTGGTCTACAGCTTATCATAAGATACTCTACCTCAGGCGAGCAAAACCTTGAGACTTCCTTAGTATTTGATTTTGTGCACCAGCTGTTGTTTACAAAAATACAGAGACCGCCACCCCTCGTCTTACCCGAGTCTGCCGTTCTGTCCTGCCGATGTAGCGTATAGCCTGCTAGCTGAATGTTGTCATTGTTGTCATTCAGCCACGACTCCGTGAAACATAAGATATTACAGTTTTTAATGTCCCGTTGGTAGGATAACCGTAATCTTAAATCGTCCATTTTATTATCCAAAGCTTGAACGTTGGCTAATAGGATTGATGGGAGAGGCAGTTTACTCGTTCGCCGTCGGATCTTTACAAGGCACCCCGACCTACGTCCACGGTATCTCCGTCTCTTCCTCACGCGAATGACGGGGATCTGGGCCTTGTCTGGAGTCTGTAGAATATCCTTCGCGAACGCCTCGTTGAAAAAAAAGTGTTCGTCCAACGCGAGGTGAGTAATCGCTGTCCTGATATCCAGAAGCTCTCTTTGGTTATAAGAGACGATGGCATAAACATTATGTACAAAATAAATTACAAATAACGCGGAAAAACACACATAATAGTACAATTGGTTAGAGGGCTGTAAAACGGCAGCCATCTTCTTCCGGCGCTGTTCTAATTCATTTACCATGCCCTCTAAGGGGTTGAGTGGACCTAAACCATGCCAGGAAAATGCACCCCACACCATAACAGAGCATCCAGAACCCTCATTTACGGAAGTGTTTCCTCTATTTTGGCAGTTATCAAACACAGTACAACACAGTTGAGTCACTTTAGAGAGCATTTTATCTCTCTCTAACTCCACATAATATAACCATGACCCTCTCTCTCTGGCCATGCCCAGTTGACCCCTCGTATCCTGGAGGCATATCAGAACGTGGCTCAGCTCTCCCTGACCGACACCTTGCTCCGCTTCCTCCAGATCTGGCAGGCCCTGCCCGACTTTGGCATCTCCTTTGTGGTGGTGAGGTAAGGAGGATCTGGCAACCCAGTGTATCACACGTTTCACAGCGAGGCTATTCTCTGTACCTAGAATCAAATCTTGCGTGCACTAGCTAGGCAGTTACCTCAATTGTAATTTATGTTAACAGTCTATCACCAAAGATTAGTGAGAGGCTAATGGCTGGCCCAATGATAAGTTGTTGTGGTGAAGTTGAGTATAGTGGCTGGTCTAAGGATAAGTTGTTGTGGTGAAGTTGAGTCTAGTGGCTGGTCTAAGGATAAGTTGTGGTAAAGTTGAGTCTAGTGGCTGGTCTAAGGATAAGTTGTGGTAAAGTTGAGTCTAGTGGCTGGTCTAAGGATATGTTGTGGTAAGGTTTAGTCTAGTGGCTGGTCTAAAGATAAGTTGTGGTAAAGTTGAGTCTAGTGGCTGGTCTAAGGATAAGTTGTGGTAAAGTTGAGTCTAGTGGATGGTCTAAGGATAAGCTGTGGTAAAACTGAGTCTAGTGGCTGGTCTAAGGATAAGTTGTGGTGAAGTTGAGTTTAGTGGCTGGTCTAATGATAAGTTGTGGTAAAGTTGAGTCTAGTGGATGGTCTAAGGATACATTGTGGTGAAGTTGAGTCTAGTGGCTGGTCTAATGATAAGTTGTGGTGAAGTTGAGTCTAGTGGCTGGTCTAAGGATAAGTTGTGGTGAAGTTGAGTCTAGTGGCTGGTCTAATGATAAGTTGTGGTGAAGTTGAGTCTAGTGGCTGGTCTAAGGATAAGTTGTGGTGAAGTTGAGTCTAGTGGCTGGTCTAATGATAAGTTGTGGTAAAGTTGAGTCTAGTGGCTGGTCTAATGATAAGTTGTGGTAAAGTTGAGTCTAGTGCCTGGTCTCTGACCCGTTCAGGTTCAAGGGAAGCAGGAAGGACGAGGTGCTGGGCATCGCCCCCAACCGTCTGATCCGTATCGACCTGGGGGTGGGAGACGTGGTCAAGACCTGGCGCTACAACAACATGAGGCAGTGGAACGTCAACTGGGACATACGACAGGTGACCTGACCCGTCAATCAATCAATCAAAATGTTCACATTTTTCTGCACACACAATCTTCTTTAGTAATCTATTTCACCAACTACACACTGAACACTGTCTCTGTATCCCTTTTTCCTGGTCATTTAGCTTTTGCTCATCTTTCCTGTGTGTGTGTGTGTTACTAACTGTGTGTGTGTGTGTGTGTGTGTGTGTGTGTGTGTGTGTGTGTGTGTGTGTGTGTGTGTGTGTGTGTGTGTGTGTGTGTGTGTGTGTGTGTGTGTGTGTGTGTGTGTGTGTGTTACTAACCCTCAGGTGGCCATAGAGTTTGATGGGAACGTGAACATAGCGTTTAGTTGTGTGACGGCTGACTGTAAGATCGTCCATGAGTTCATTGGAGGCTACATCTTCATGTCGACACGCAGCCATGAGCAGAGTGACACACTCAACGAAGAGCTCTTCCACAAGCTGACGGGGGGCCACGAGGCTCTGTGACACCCTCTGTGACCCATGAATATAATGTTATAGAAAACTATTAACAATGTAATGAATTGTCAATTCTGAAATCTGGAATTAAATATGTTTATTATGACATACATAAAACAGTTGACAGTTGTTTTAATTTCCCGATGAGGCATTTGGCTTGATGGTTGAGTGTCCTTAAGAGTATGGTGGCAGTTTCCTGAAATATGACAAAATGCACAGGAAGCCACAGGAAGCCACAGGAAGGCACGCAGTGTGTGCGTGTGGGTGTGTTCCTATCTCTGTGGAACAGTTGAGAATGTCCGTTGACAAAACCACAGCTTGTGCCTGCTGTTTCCCAACTGATAGATAGCATCCTTTTGTGTCTTCCAGTCATGTGACAGTGTTGTCAGGAACACCAGTCAGTCTCTGTGCCTGTACTGTGGCCTGTATGGTAATAGAGCTGTTGTTGTTGAGGGTGTTTTCAGACTCATAGTCTCACTCACCCAGAGTCTTCAGGGTTCTGGTTCCGAACAGTATCGGTTTCCATGGAAACAGTCTAGACAGAACTGGAAATCGACAGCTGTCTTATGACAAATTCAGCCATGTCTTTTACCTCCGAAGCGCAGATAAGCCTCTTCACCTACTCCAGTGGCAGAATACTCTCTGAAACAGAAGATTTCTATAATTTGTCAATATTCACTTCCCTGTCTATCTATCCCATCTAACATCCTTCCCCTCATGAGTGTGTGTCATGTGTGAGGTACTCGTGTGTGGGTCTTAGTTTTAGGGCTGAAGTTTCGGGGAAGTAGTTTCCCCTCAGTATCCCCAGGTGTCAGCAATACACTGTTCTCCGGCCAGAAGAACTGGAAACCCTCTGCACAGAAAACAGAAACACATAAAGAAAAATACTTATGCATTCAGACATGAGAACACTCCAATGGCAGCTCTCTGCTACTGTAAGTTACCTCGGTTGCTCTTACCAGACAACGATTTGGGGATGTCAGTGAATATGGCCAGGTCACAGTCTCTCCTCATGTCTGGAGCAAAAGGATACATACATCAAAGGAAGCCCATCTATGAGAGGCTCTATGGGAAGTTTCCCAGACCCAGATTAAGCCTATTCCAGGACTAAAAGCACTTTAAGAAATCATTCATTGAGCATGCTTTTAAAGCTAGGAGTAGGCTATTAAGCCTTCCCAGAAAGCCGTCCTTATTTGGGCAAAAAAAAATTGGGGTGGAACACAGGGGACGGTAGTGCGTTTTTTCCATGGTTTACATTTGCTCTTCTGCTTGTATTTTCCCTATAAACAATTGCCTGACTTTTTATATTACCCTAATGAAGTTTAGAAACATTTGTAAAGGTTTGGTGTGGCTATTATTAAGCTTTAGCTACTGCAGGTCTTTGATATGAAGGCAGTACGCCCCGGTGTTCCAACTGACTCCGACAGCTGAACTTGAGGTGAGGAAAACTGTTTCAGGCCTACCAGAGTTACTCCTTACTTACTTACTTTATTGTCCCCATGGGGAAATTTTGTTGCAGTGTCATGTACACATTTAAACTCCTATAATCTAACAATATAATGCTTATATTTTCCTAAATATTCAGATTGAAAATTAACGAATTACCATCCTTCTGTACGTCTATATCTGTATAGCAGACGCAGTAGCCATCTGACATAAAGAAATGCATGTCGGTGTCGTAGCATGCCAACGGCATATCTCTATCTTTCTGGAGTTAGGCCTAAGCTTCACTTCATATATACAGTGGTCACCTAAGCCTTTGCATGCAATGCCCTGATACATTTAGTGCTAAAATCTCTGACAGCTGAACCGTGAGGAGGACAATTATTGTTTTAGGAAAGTAGCCTAAACACCCCCCACCCAAAAAAATAAAAAATAAAGCTATAAAAGTTTTGCATATGCTACACATCAAAACACAGGGAATAGGGTTTTTGTAATTTGTTATAGGCTGTTTTTATGGACACGGAAATGTGGCTCATTTGGCCAACATCCCTCGTTTATTGATGGTGCTGGCTGTGCCAGGTTGGATCTGAATGCATATGGATGTCCATTAAATGTCTCAAATGTCTGGTCAATTAAAATCTTCCCTGTCACGTTGTCCGGTGCCAAATTTTCCTAAAGGACATTCGCAAATGCCATATTTTATTATATTAAGATTTTTTAATATTCACAAGAAAATCTGTTGCCAATTGGATGGAAACCTAGCTACAGTATAGACACCCTAAAGACTCTGGCAAGTGCGCCAGTCCAGTGTCACTTGATTATGCCTGCACATCATGGTTCACCAGCAGCCCCACACATCTAAACAATAAGCTACCAGCTAAACAAGCTTGGAAGAATTGGACTTAACCTCCCCCCTCATACTCATCTGGAGGTTGAGCATTTTGTTGTCTCTCTATGTAATGTGTCTGTATCTCTGTAATGTGTCTGTCTCTATGTAATGTGTCTGTATCTCTGTAATGTGTCTGTCTCTATGTAATGTGTCTGTATCTATGTAATGTGTCTGTCTCTATGTAATGTGTCTGTCTCTATGTAATGTGTCTGTATCTATGTAATGTGTCTGTCTCTATGTAATGTGTCTGTATCTCTGTAATGTGTCTGTCTCTATGTAATGTGTCTGTATCTATGTAATGTGTCTGTCTCTATGTAATGTGTCTGTCTCTATGTAATGTGTCTGTCTCTATGTAATGTGTCTGTATCTCTGTAATGTGTCTGTATCTCTGTAATGTGTCTGTCTCTATGTAATGTGTCTGTCTCTATGTAATGTGTCTGTATCTATGTAATGTGTCTGTATCTATGTAATGTGTCTGTATCTCTGTAATGTGTCTGTATCTATGTAATGTGTCTGTATCTCTGTAATGTGTCTGTATCTCTGTAATGTGTCTGTATCTATGTAATGTGTCTGTATCTCTGTAATGTGTCTGTATCTATGTAATGTGTCTGTCTCTATGTAATGTGTCTGTATCTCTGTAATGTGTCTGTATCTCTGTAATGTGTCTGTATCTATGTAATGTGTCTGTATCTCTGTAATGTGTCTGTCTCTATGTAATGTGTCTGTATCTCTGTAATGTGTCTGTATCTATGTAATGTGTCTGTATCTCTGTAATGTGTCTGTCTCTATGTAATGTGTCTGTATCTATGTAATGTGTCTGTCTCTATGTAATGTGTCTGTATCTCTGTAACTCTGTAATGTGTCTGTATCTATGTAATGTGTCTGTATCTATGTAATGTGTCTGTATCTATGTAATGTGTCTGTATCTATGTAATGTGTCTGTCTCTATGTAATGTGTCTGTATCTCTGTAATGTGTCTGTCTCTATGTAATGTGTCTGTATCTCTGTAATGTGCCTGTATCTCTGTAATGTGTCTGTATCTATGTAATGTGTCTGTATCTCTGTAATGTGTCTGTCTCTATGTAATGTGTCTGTCTCTATGTAATGTGTCTGTATCTCTGTAATGTGTCTGTCTCTATGTAATGTGCCTGTATCTCTGTAATGTGTCTGTCTCTATGTAATGTGTCTGTATCTCTGTAATGTGTCTGTCTCTCTGTAATGTGTCTGTCTCTATGTAATGTGTCTGTATCTCTGTAATGTGTCTGTCTCTATGTGATGTGTCTGTATCTCTGTAATGTGTCTGTCTCTATGTAATGTGTCTGTATCTCTGTAATGTGTCTGTATCTCTGTAATGTGTCTGTCTCTATGTAATGTCTCTGTATCTCTGTAATGTGTCTGTATCTATGTAATGTGTCTGTATCTCTGTAATGTGTCTGTCTCTATGTAATGTGTCTGTCTCTATGTAATGTGTCTGTCTCTATGTAATGTGTCTGTATCTCTGTAATGTGTCTGTCTCTATGTAATGTCTCTGTATCTCTGTAATGTGTCTGTCTCTATGTAATTGTTTATGTATTTATGTAAAAAAATAGGGACACAATGGAAATAAGTCCCCGACTTTATTGTTCAATCCCGGTCATCTTTGTGTATACATATGTTTTTTTTTTACTGACAAAATGAATCAATCAATCAATCCAAACTGTGCAGTGGCCAATTGATGAATGGAAAGAGATATCTGTAACAAAACACCAAAAGTTTTAATGAAATTGGGAGATTGTCAAGCCAGGCCTTTGATACTGGGTAAGTCTACATGGTAGGGAGGGATGCATTTCCTGTTTGTCCAGATTGACAGTCTAGTTATTGTGGTGTTGAAAGCTCAAACCATGATATTGAAGTGCCTGAAGTCGGTATGCTTTGTTTATTGGTTGTGTGGTGCATTGGCACAAAAACCTGTTGGTGGAAAATCTGATTCCCCCCTAGCTGATCATTGTCTGCAGCCGGCTCTGATCGTAGTGTAATGAAACAGGCAGGGTGAGTGAGCTCGTCTGTGGTGGTCGGTGAACCCTCAACCTTCTGGCCTGTAGCCCTGCATGGCATCGACTGTGCCACAAAAGCGTGCTGAAGTGGCAAAGTAGATTTCCATGTTTATATACACAGGGTCGCTACAGCTATTGTTATTTGTGGTCGTAAACATTATTTTTAGTTAACTATGAGGGGGGAGGGGTTCAATTTATTTTACAGTACAAGGGGAGGGTCATGTGAAAATATTTGTAACTGTTGGGAGGGCGCTTTTTTTTTTTTTATGACACCTTGAGTTGGACCAGCCCCCCCGTTCACAAAGAAACTCGGTAATGTACGAGTTGCTAATTCGTTGAACGCGGCACGTTATTAACTACAACTAGTTAACAGGTGGGAAATGTCCGAGTTTCCTAGTTCTGATTTACATGTGAACGTTTCATTAGAGAAGGGCTAAGGAGAGATAGAAATATGAAACAGCCCAAAAGGGACTAATACCCGTCTAATTCATCACACCTCTTCACGATTACCTCGCCTCCCCCTTCCTCCTCTGTCCATTTACAGTACAGTTCTTTCTGTCGGTTCAATGTGGAATGGATCTCTCTCAACTCTCATAACAGTAGGTTACACATCAAGGCAAGCTACCACAATGATTCAAATGTTATGGTGCCCAACATGCCTACTAAACATGCCTACTAAAGAAAAGTTAACACATTCAAAGCGCAAATGTTGAATGTTCGCACGTAAGCACAATCATCTACTGTGGTAAAACTCACTGGCAAAATATACATTGACATATATGGTAAAAACAGCACGAAATGTAAAAAGCAGGCACATTTCACTTTGTTCAGACTCCAACCAGTAGGTGGCAGTAAGGGACTTTGGCTCTTTGTTTTGTGTCAAAGGAAAGAGGCTACGTTTTTAGCAGGTAAGAATATATTGTAGCAGCTGGCTAATGATTGATTTAAATATAACAATTATGTTTCCAACTACAGTTTGGTAAATGTAGTCCCCTGTAGCTCAGTTGGTAGAGCATGGCGCTTGCAAAGCCAGGGTTGTGGGTTCGTTTCCCACGGGGGGCCAGTATGAAAATGTATGCACTCTAACTGTAAGTCGCTCTGGATAAGAGCGTCTGCTAAATGACTAAAATGTAAAATGTAAAAATGTACATGTCCCGATAAAGCTTTTATCAAGTGATCTAAAATATAATTATTTAGAGATGTACGGGCTAAGATTTTCATAATTCAGTATTAGCAAGCTAACAGTTAGCTAGCTAACATTGGTCCAGTTAGCATAAAAATCGCAATAAACCTCGCATAACTGGTAAATATTCAAATACATGAATCACTCATGTTTATTGTGCACTCACTCGCTACTAAGAACCTGTAATGTTTTCTAGTGATTAACAACAGTCCTGGATGTGTAGCGATCGAAAATTACGGATAGTTCTCTGTCATGCATGTTGCTCTTTTTGGGAAGAGAAGCATTGAGGATTTTCTTGCCTTCATCATACATACAATGAGGGCAACCAGTGCCTGAGGACTAGCGAGGCGACAGCCTCTTAGAATCCTAGAGTGAAATACTTACACACTGTCTCAAACATGTAGGCTCAGCATTCCTGAAAGGGCCCATTACAAGTCAGAATGTTGAATAAACTTTGCTTTTAACTTACTTTACCTGTTATCCACTT